ACTATTTGCCACTATTTGCCACTATTTGCCACTATTTGCCACTATTCGCCACTATTCGAGACTGTTCGCCACTATTCGCACTATTCGTACTATTCGCTGATCGCTATTCGCGACTATTCCAGACACCCAAGGAACATTCGTTTCTGGCGAGTACTAGATGAAGGATTCGACAAATACCGGCAGCGTTGCTCGCCTCGCCGCGCAACGCTGCCAGTTTGTGTCGAATCCATCTACTACTGAGGCGTGCCGCGCGCGTCCGCAAAGTTAAGCCTTCGCGGTGTGAAAACAATTTTTTGTGCACCGAAATTTCAGTCAATTAAACACGCCGCAGGGCCCGGTGTAAGATGGCCACCATCTACGATCAACGCACCCACGAGAAACTAACAAGCGATTTTATCGAAAGGAGGGTCGAGGTCGATGAATCTCTCGTAGACATAGAGGCCCGTTTGGAAGAGCTAGAAGCTTGTGACAAAATTTTAAGAAGTTTTGCTGCTTTTGGAGCGGGGTTTTTGGCTGCAAGGCTAGCTATCGGTATAACGAGGCTTGCCTTCGGTCTAGACAAAAAAAGCAATTTAAGATTCGCGCTACTTGTCTATAACAAAATGGGCCGCGGTAGAAAAGGGGTGGTTGAACAGAGCAAAATGAAGCCAAAAAACCGCCAGCAAAAACAGAGAAGATGCAGACATGTTGTAGTGGAATGGCGTAAAAAAGCCTGTTGATAAAAAACCTCCATTATTTTTACAATCTGATTTTGTAGACGCGATGAAACAGATGAACCCACAAGAGGTCGCCAATATTCTCTTGTCAAAACAAACAGGCAAAGTTACTCGAGCATAAAATTCCTGAGCGCCCAAGAAAATCAGCGCTGGAGTTTGATTTTTTATCTTTTGAAATTTTGTTTTTAGGGCGCAAAGGAATGCAGGCTGTTAGGGCGCACAGGTATGCGATCTATTGTTTTACACGCGCATACCTATTGTTACTTCACGTAAAAAAATAACAGGCGCGTGATATTCGTCTTTCCGTAGCAACCAACATTTAATTACTGCGACGATCTCGCGTGTAATATCGCGAACGTTTATCTGTCACTCAGGCGTGAAATATTTATTCACAAGACACGCAATCAAGTGAACACTGACAATCATGTTTTTATAATATGCAAATGAATCGTGAATTTTCAAACGATAATTCGAACCGGCGGCAAGATCGGTTACTTTTTTTTTTCTATATTCGGCTTCAACGTTGCCGCGGATATTTTTCTCCAGTTCGTCAACATCAACAAGCTTTCCGCTTGACGGTTGGCGAGGCAGCTTGGCTCGGACTTGTTCTTTCCGGACGTTGTACTGCTGAAACTCGGAAAGAATGATGTCAAACTCGTGGGCAGACACGGCGTTGTTATTCAAAGCTTTGGATAATAGTCTGCTGACTGTGTCACGTTTGGCGACGGCGAGCGTGGTAATGTCTTGATGCTTTTTAATTTTTGCCTCAAGTTTCCTGCTGGCGATTAGGGACTTTAAGCAGCGGGAACGCGGACGGTGACGGGGACGCCGAAACCTGTGAGAAGGCTGGGGAGAGAAGGCCGTTGTGGCGGTGTCACAGTGATTTGGGTATCCCCGTGTTTTGGGTACCCCCGTACCCAAATCCCTAGTGTTTTGGGTACCCAAAACACTGAAAGTGTTAAATACCACAGACTGGGGCAAGTGAAATCCTGCATAATTCTGCTCAAAAACCATTTATATTCTTACGAAGCTTTGTCTCAATAAGTAAAAGCTTTCTTAA